GAGGGGAGGGGGAGGGGGAGGGGGAGAGGGAGAGGGAGAGGGAGAGGGAGAGGGAGAGGGAGAGGGAGAGGGAGAGGGAGAGGGAGAGGGAGAGGGAGAGGGAGAGAAAGAAAGGGAAAGGAAAGAAAAGAAAAGCATGCTTATGTCCTATTTGCTTTTCCATTAGAAAATTTTAAAACTTTGTGATTCAGAAGGTTACTTCCTCCCAAACATCCCAGAAACCAGGCCATAACTGAACCTTCCTAACCATGCTCAGCTGAAACTGGCTGCATGCCACAGAGCTGCCTCCAGATGGCAGTACACCACTGGAACCAGATGTTTCCAGCCATGTTTCCAACAAAGCTCAGTTGACTAACTCCTATGTGGTTCCCAGCAACTGTTCTTCCTCATGATTGTCAAAGTCAGCACTCTGATTAGGAGAGAATGAGTGTTGTCAGATTTCAAAAGTTGGTTCAAAGCAAGAAAACTAGTCGGAAAATCTATAATAAAGTTCTTAAAATCCATTATAAATTTAAGACCCTTTGTTAGGTAGGTTGTTTGGTTGGTTGTTTGGTTGGTTGGTTGGTTGGGTTTTTTTTTTTTTTACTACAAAGTGAGACCGGGGTCTCACTATGTAGTTCTAACTGTCCTGGAACTCACTCTGTAGACCACCAGGTTGGCCTCAAAACTTACAGAGACAGGCCTGCCTCTGCCTCCTGAGTTCCGGGATTAAAGGCATGTGCCACTATGCCCAACCCAAGACCCTTTTTAGTAAATGATTGTCACCATCCATCTTCCCCAGAATAACCTTCAGACTGCCAGATTATGCTTTGGCTCCCACCTTACTGCATCTTAGGTTCTCAAAGAAGTTCTTGTTACTCCGTCTCCATTCTGAAAATTAGAGGCTCTAAGGGTACATGCCTGTATGCTTTTTTCTGATGCCCTCTCCTCCCCTCACCCCATGCAAATCTCAGTTCACCTCTTAGGGCTGGGAGTACCTTGTAATCTCCTCTAGAAACAAAACAAAAACTAATTTGAATCAAATTCACCTGTAGCAGTCACATCTTTGATGCTGTCCACTAGAGAACAAATCAGTCAAGAAGTTGGTCAAGAGTCCAAGGGTCCCCTGACTTCTTTACATAGCTTTCTGAGCCAATCATTTGTCCTAGTGTCCCTAAAGTGTCATCCTCCTCGAGCTTAGACAGGCATCTTATGGTGCTTCTTCACCACACCTGACTGTTCCCTGTCCCTCCTCTCCTGCCTGCTTCTCTTCCTCTCAGGCTCCCACTGCCCTGGCTGCTCTACACTATCATCCACAGATTCAAGCCAGTGACTGTCAGCAGCAATGGCCTCTTCTGTGCCATCGTCCTTCTCTTCATCATGTTGCTTTTTGTCATTCTCTCCATCGCCCTCTGCAAATGGCGGATGAACAAAATCCTCGGCTTCATCATGTTTGGCCTCTACTTCGTGTTCCTGGTGGTCAGCGTCCTCCTGGAAGACAAAGTTCTCGAGTGCCCTGTCTCCATCTAGTGGAAAAGCCATATCTTAAACCAGCAGCATGGATGGTCCCTCCCGGCTCTGGGCTCCAGGCTCCTTGCAGTCTTGAGAAGAGGCAGCTTGTGCACAGCCCTGGGAGGCAAGTGTCCCTCCTTTGGAAGGTTGGAGGAAGGATGGATTCCCACGGGGCCATTCACTTCACAGGCACCTCTCCCTTGCCTGCGGAAAGGGCTCCGTGTAAGAGACAACAAGGACCGTCTCTCCATCACTGACAGGTACTCCTCGCTGGTCGGAGGTACATTTATTGTGATGACACAAAAGAGGACAGAGGCTATACATACATATAAATATTATAAATATATACACATGAGCATACAAATCTTGCCTGTTTCTGTACTATATACCTCTCCTCCTATACCTATAGATTAATATATAACTGTACACAAACAAAGAAAATTATATATATATTATAAACATATATATTTAAGTGCAAATGCATCTTTTCAGGGATAGTTCTAGCATATTTATAGTACCTATTTGAAGAGGGGCATCAACCTTCGACCTTCAGTTTGTGCTTTGCCCCTCAAGTACAGAAGCTGAGTTAACAGAATCAGTAGGCACAGTGTTCTTTGCTGTGATCTCTAGCCTGCTTTGGATGTACTAAGTTCAGTGAAATACTTTGAGGAAAGGAAAGCTTAATCGAGGGAGTCTGTGGGAGCCCCAGTTAGAACCTCTAAAATACTCTCATAAGCCAAAAAGAATCACCCTGTTCATCCCCACTGGGGTGCTCTGAGAACCCCCGAGATTCTGTAAGACAGAGGTAAAACTCAGACTGAGTGACAACGGGGGGGGGGCCCCCGCCGCGAGGGTGAGGCTGTTGTTTTGTTTTGTTTTGTTTTGTTTTGTTTTGTTTTGTTGTGATGCCCCAGCATGCAAGTAGATGATATGAATGAAAAACCAAATTAGTGCTTTTCTAGGACAGCAAAAATTATAAAAACTGAGCCTCTCATGTTCCAGTGCATGGCCCATTATCATCAAGCGAGCAAGGGCAATCTTAGCCGTGACTGTCATCTGACACTCTTTAATCCCAAGGGCTCCCACACAGTCCAAAGTCCTGCCAAGAGTGCTGAGATGTGTGCTGAGAAACACCATCCAGCAGAGGTGCTCAGTGGAGGCTGCCACCCAATGGGAACATAAGGGCCTAGCTCCTTAGAGCATTTCTCAGTGTGGTCACAAAGGGCTGCAGTGTCTAAAGATCGTTCCCAGGGGATCTAAACTAACGACTGACAGTGTTTGCTTGAGGCAGTTCAGGTTTGTCTGCAGAGGCATTTAACCATTTGGTGTGTGCCCCACCTTCCCCACCCCAACCCCAGAACAGTTTCCAAGTCCTGTGTCATGCATTTGGTGTGTAGACCCACGCAACACCTGTATCCCACCTCCCATCATAACCCCATCTAAAACTCTAGCGTTCCAAGCACAGTGGAGACTACACATGCTCCATCGTTTCTTTACACTACTTGGAAGCAGTCACTCTGATATCTTGCTTAGCTTCACATGGGGTCAACTCATTCACTGAGTGTCCCTAAGTCCTGTCTGACATCTTGTGTGACTTCTCAGGTTTATTTCGGTAGAAAATGGGGCTGGCTGGCAGCCAATTAAATTGAAAAAAAAATATGCAGAGTTTTTCATTTCCCTAAACCATCCTTTCTCCTTAAAATCAACTGAACAAGTGAATAGAGGGTGGCCACCTGCGTGTAAATCGGCACACATCATACCCGGAGAATGTCACCGCGTATTCACAACCTGATCTGGCATTCTGCCTTTTCTGATTGTTGTGAACACCCCTTAACACAGGGAGGCAGGATACAGAACTCAAAGCTGAATTAAAAAGGTCGGATAACCCAATACCCCAGCTCAAGTTCAGCATTCCATCTACAGACACTCCATTTACAGAGCATGGCAACAGCAGGCAGAGCCAAGCCTCTCCCCTCCCTTCACTCATAAGCAAAAGGCACTTCAAAGTGGAGGCCCCCTGAGGACACATGAAATAAAAAGTTCTGCCGCCTAAGAAACTGGCTTTCAAGTCTCTCCAACAATGCAGAGTTGGGTTTTCAATGGTGAAAGAGAAAGCCATGCCCCATTTATCAAGGGTTGGACTTTGTATGGGGCAAGCATTTGTGCTGCTTCCTTACAGAGAAAGACAAAGGAAACGTGAGTTTTCAATTTTAAAATCTCAGATTCTTGTCCTGGCTGCTTGGATGAGAGCATGATGATTGTTGGATAAATTCTTTTTTCTGGTTGGTTTATTGCTTAAAACGAATTATTCTTTTTAAACCAACTACAAATAGACTGTAAAGTAAGAAAGGTCACAGAATGTCTGCTCCCACCATTACAATCCCTTCCTCAGCAAGAAGCCAGGAAGCACTCCAGGTGCCTAAGAGCTGGGGGTTCTGCTTCAGAGGGAGGGTTGTAGTATTTAACAAAAAGTTGCTTTGAGAAGACAACGTTCCCAAAGCCAGTCCCCACTTCCATGGTGTTCCTGTCCCTGAGAGGTGCAGGCACCACCCACCGCTGGCTCTTGCTGTCTTGGTTGAGGAATGTGTGGCTATGTGGCCATATGTTGTCCTGGAATCATTCACATCACTGTAAAACTGCTTCCTACAGGATAGAGTCAGATCATCTCCAATTTCTTTCTTGCATGACAATGTGTGCAAGTGTACTAGATCTGCTGACAAACAATATCAATGATGTCATCACCCTATTGGCCCAATCACATTTGAAATCCCAAAGCAAAGAGCATCAAATTTGACAGTCAAGGAAGAGGAAACTCGTGCACACACCAACCAAAGTGAACATTTTTTAACGAAAGGATTTTTTTTTATTCTGTGCACATATACATACACACAAACATTTGCTTACCATTCGAACACTTCATCCTACAAAATAAAGGAAATGGCCAGCTGTATCCCTAATGCTTTCAGAGAAGCAAAAATATGCAACAAGAGATATGGGAGAAAAAAATTTAGACTGCTGTCTCTTTTCTTCTCTGGAGCAGAGTATAAAATAATATCAAAAGTTTGAGCCAAAATTTTACACTCATCCTAAAATAAAGGAATTGTACCCAAATGGGTCCATTTGTTCGAAGAAAGCCAAGCCAATCTTGCTTCCTGCCACCTCTCCTATAGCCTTAGGCAACCCTGGAACAGGAGAGATACTTGGTTCAGACTGAGAATTCTAAAATAGAAAGTCCTAGATTTGCATTTGAGAGTGTCCATGACACATTCACCTGCCCTCTAGATCCGGCCAGTTCCTGATGGGATGAAGCATGAGATTAATGGTGTTATTCAACTTCCCAGGACCTAAACATGCCAGACAGAGTCAACAGGGCAGAGTACATGTACAGAGGACCAGGGATGGGGTTACTCATCAGCTCGGCAGATGATGCAGAGTGTCTGAAGCCTCACATTAGTGGCATGAAAGGAGGCAAGGACCATCTCATGTTCAAGGAAAATGCTTTGCAAAGCCTCTAACAGGGACCATTAGAATTTATTTTATAGGGAAGACACAAGTCAGGTGGTTTGGAGGCCTTTCAGCAAAACACAGCTGCCTCCGTGATTAGATTTTTGGTGACAACATACATGTGCTCCTGGCCAGAGAGAGTTGGCTGCCTTCCCTACACCACCACTTTCCACATCTTTGAAATGCCTCTGTGACTTTAGATGAAGTAAGGTAGGGTCTATAAAAGAAGGTTATCCACTCCCAGACCACCGTAACAGAGAGTTGATCACTGAAGAGACAACTGTTAGAACTAGTGGCCAGTCAGAGGGGAAGATGGAATCTGAAGTATTCTATTGAGAGAATTGCTCTGAAGCATTTGATAGGGTTTGATGCCTGTCTAAATGAAGAATTTCAGAGAATTTCAGTGGGCTTTCATAAAACACACACACAGGCTCAAGTGCACAGGAACACACGCAAGTTATATTCTTCCTTGCACCTGGAAAGATTGGGACTCCAGCAAGTAGCATGTTACAGACAGCAGGTCTGTTCCAGAAAAAGCATGCTATAGAAACCAACAACCACTCTTACATGTTCGCCTGACCTAATAATTTTTAAGCTATCATCATCAACTCCCGTGCCTCTCACAACATTCTTTTCATTTAGCAGACAAGGTCTTCCCATTAAGAGAGAGTTGGTAGGAAAATATAAAAATCAAAGGGGAAATAGGGGAGAGAAAATAATTTACTTGTGATAGGATTCCTAAGAAAGCAACCAAAATATATCTATGATGTTTAATGCGGTTACAAATAGCAGACATTTTTAAACAATTACTAGAGTGTATACATGTTCTACATTTATTTGAAAAGCACATGTCAAATGAAGGACTCAGGAAAGAAAGGTACCTGTGCCTTGCCCCAGTGTCTGTCTGAGTTTAGTTTACTGCCTTTGGATCTTTGTGGTCCTTTTTAATCTCACAGCTTCATATTCCTTGAAATATATAGCTAAGAAAAGCAATAAAGGAAATACAGCCAGCTCAGATCCAAAACATATTATTGCACCTTCGAGCTATTTTTCTCATGTCACTGGGCACTTTGGGTCCACAGAGGCTGTGGTTGCTGCAGCAAGAAGGACATAGGCTTCTGTGCAATCACAGATGTCCTCACATTCGCTACATCTGGAAGTAGCTTGCTTCCCACGTAGACCGCCCAGACAGCATGCATCCACAAGCCTTTCCCACACATAGACAATCAACCTCGCTTTAAACTACCTAAATGGCACCGAAGTCTTTAATCTTGTTCGTGAGTTTTCTTAAGGGTGGGAGAGAGGACCACACAAAGGACAAACAAGTGCATGACCTAGCCAGGCTTTGAAAGACCAACCTCGTCCTGAAAGTTTAAGCTCCTGGGTTCAAATTATTGTACAGAGAGCAACTGAATGGAGAAGCATGGTGCCTAAGCCAAAGCACTTTTCCTAAAAGACTGATGGGCTGGACTGGAAAACTAATAAGTACCTAAGGATGAAGGAGTGCTGTGGAC